TCGTCCCCAACAGCTGCTGCCCTGTGCTCCATGCGTGCAGACGTGGGGGCTGCAACCGCAACCGGGGATTGAGCACTTGGTCGGATCGTGCTGGTGTCTGGCTGAACCAAATGCTGCAGCCTGGACGATCTTCTCAGTTCAGCATCCGTCGTGCAATGTGCTTAACTGCTTATTCGCTCGTTTAATCGCCGCAATTCATCATTTCCGGTGCGTGTCCGTTCTCACGCCACTGACTTTCTTCCAGTACCGACGAGTGGCTAAACTCGGCCATGACCTACGCCTATTTTTCAGAGTCAGGCTGAAGAGGAACCCCGAATTGGCCGCTTCCACTCATGCAGGCTCGCGCGGACTGCATGCTCCTCTCAAAAACGCATGCGGGAAGCAGCAGCTACCAAACGTGTGAGCCTACATGCTGCGAAACCATAATAACCATCATGCAGGCAACCAAACAACAGACTACGTCGTGTTTTGCACTGTTTTTCTTCAACTTGCAAAAACTACCTCGTTTTCCTCATACAACCTGGTTCAATGGCTATATGCAACCAAACGCGTCCTAGTAGACCAACACTGGGCACGCGCTACGTGATTGTGTCTGTGGGCGTCGACTCTGGCATGACACTGACGAGTTGCCCTAGGTGATGGGCTCTGAGTCATTCACCCACCTGTCCTCATAGCAATCTCCTCCTTTGCCTCCCTCGTGGATGATGTCGAACATCTTCCTGACCGCGTCGTACTATGCCAGCTCTCCTGTTTTAGGCGTACCAGTGAACATCGTGCAAGCACCTGTCAGCTCCCCACCCGGCGTCTGTGTCTTCTCCGAGAAAAGCAACGACGCCACGTAACATTGATGAAGGAAGGCACTTGTCCGGCGATGGTTGTCGTGGACTGCCCACCCGAGCTGCTTGGCGGCGTAGAAATACAGAGCCTTATAATGCTCCGACCATGACGGCGTTTGCACGGGCGGTGACGGCAGCGGGCCCCGCGGCTCAGGCCCCAACCTCCGCCATGTTCACGACCAGCATGCCCACCGCCACGTCCGCTACCAGCACGCCCTCCGTCGGCCTTCTGCATCTTGAGTGTTTTCACCTTTGTTTTGACTATGTGAGCAAGTACATCGCTGAGTTCATGTACGCTAATAAGGATAAGGAAGCGATTCTCCCGCCTTATCATCCCACGTAAGTCATCCGCGGATATCCTTTCGTAAGTTTTAATCATTCCTTTATGTGCGTGTAATCCTTGGTAGCAGCAGCTACCAAGCATTTATGTGCTTCCCGTAAGTTTTAATCCTTCCTTTATGTGGGTACAGAATACTCCCATGCTATGTATTTGGACTCATCGAAGAACATCAAGAAAAAGGATTACACTCACATAAAGAGTGTTCTCGATAGTGCCCTGTTAACCTTCAGTCTGTCTGGTGGATATATCAAGGTGAAAAGGCACAGGAAGAACGGGCTGGGTTTCGGCCATAAGACCGACTTCTGCTGCATCCAGCAACCGTACACTAGTAAGGCTGATGGATTCTACCTCATGTGTCACCTGATCGAGTACACAAGGGATAATCAACGCCTTCGCATGTCAGCTACTACCAACGATGCCGAAATTGTCAGCTGGGCCACAAGCATAGGAAAGACACCGGATCATCGAATCCGACTGAGTTTTATCACGTACAGTGTGAACTTGCCCAAGTGATCATGAAGGAGGTCCTTGAACCAACAGGGATGTTCTACCATGGGCCAATCACGCGAGATGATGTCGGAGCACTGCTACTCGCTTAGCGTCTAGACCTGAAGCCTTTCAACAAGCTCGGGTGCTTCCTCCTTGACTATGAAGATTGGACCGCCGACATGGAGGACTGATTGTCGATGACAACTTGTCACTACTGTCTTTCTATGGCAAAACTTTAAATTTATGCACGATGAAACTCTGTGATGTAACTAAACCGTCCTCCTGAACTAACGTAGATCGCTCTAGTTAATTAGTTTGGATATGAGGAACTTTGTTATTTATGTTTACTATTGGTTGCTTGTATTTTGCTAATTATGCCTTTTTGTTTTCTTAAGTACATTATGTTGCATGTTATCGTTGAATTCATCAACTGACGATGCAGGTACATAGATCAAAGATGGCGAAGGACTGCTACGTCGTGTTCGTTGGGAGGGTTCCAGGAGTGTACGACCACTGGCCAGACGCTCAGGCCTAGGTGGACAAGTACCCGGGTGCTAGCCATAGAGCGTTCGACAGCAGAGCCGAAGCGGAAAGTAGTTACTTGAGGTGGACGCCCCGGCAAGAGCGGGGGCGAAACCGCCGGTGCCTCAAGAAGTACTACATAGTCGCGCTCTTCTCTTTCACATCATGGTTTAGATAGAGATGATGAAACTTATGTGTGTGCCATGACAATGCAGTTGCATTTATTCGAGACATGACATGACTTGTGTATCGCTATTTTTGAGATGTGATGATATTTGTGTTGAATGATGATGATGATGATGATGGTGGTATAATGAGACTATTGTATGTGTATGATATGACGAGAATAGTGTATGTTTATTATAATATGATGAAACTACTATATAAAGCATGCACAAATACATCGCAAATACGTAGAGAGGGAATAAATCTGTGAAAGCAGGAATACTAGCAGTAGCGCTGGAAGGCATCTAGCGTGAATATGTCTATGCCTAACCAGTTGCGCGCGCAACTCCAATCATCGCCGTCGCTGCGTTATGTGGATCCGTGCGCGCGTGCCCCACCTGGTCCCACCTAACAACCCATATTCACATTTTCTCAGCGCGATACGCGGCAAGAATATAGTCACATCGTATCTCCCTCGTTCTCTCGTTCCCCACCGCCCCTGTTCCTTCTTTTCTCGTTCCCCATCTGAGCCATCTCCATCTCCATCGAATCCGGCGCATCCGGCTCCCTCCTCCGCCACCATGGCCACTCACCGCCGGGTCGCTCCTCCATTGCCTCGAGCCCTCTCCCCTGTGACGTTCTTCTTCACCCATAGGCGATTGTTCTCCACCCACGCCCTGCTACTTCTATCGTCAGATCCGCCATTGAGGTAAGATGGAGCAACATGGCTACCTCATCGCCATCTTGCCTCCTGGTGAAAGGATGCCGGGCATCGACGAACAACGAGCAGCAGCATCACCACCACTGTGAGCAGATCTGTGATGGAGATCTACACATTAAGGCAGTGAGGAGTCAAGCGGCTCGGCGGCAAAGCCCAGACACACACCTCCCGCAAGCACGCCGGTGGTCAAGAGCTCCAACTCATCTTCCCCGTCTTCCTCGGAGGTATCAGCGATTCGTCTACTTGTTTTTTTTTAAAACAAGATTTTTATTCTTTTCTCAATCTTTCGATATGCATCTGATTTCGTGTGTGATAGTGGTTTTTATGTGATCTTATTTTGTTTCCTCTCCTGCAGCTTTCGGCAAATGACTGCTCTTGTTTTGCCCCTCTCCATAAACATGAAAACGGATTGATCTTAATGTACTTTTGTAATTCATAGTTTGCTGGAAGAAACAAGGACCTTTTTGATGGCTATCTTTGGATTCTTTGGCTACTGTAATTATTATGGCCTCAGTTTTTTACATGAAACATACTAATTTGGTGAAGAACTATTTGGGGATATTTTCTGAAGAATGATCTAACAATAATTGGGAATAATTTCTAAAGAACGTTATAAAAAATTCTAAAGAACTTTCTAAGAAACGAAGAACTTTCTAACAGGACTTTGTTAACATGGTGTCCGAACTTTGCCATAAAAATCAGAAGAACTTTTGAGAAAACTTCGCCATTACTAATTGCTTCCTTGGATTTTGTAAAGTTCTTTGGAATTTTCAGTAGAGTTTGCCACAGCCATCTAAAAATTCCTTTGGTATAAACCAGTAATTCATTTCATTAGTTTTTTCTGAGAATAATTTCGCTATTTTTTTAGTAAATAATAAACCACATAAACATCTAAGAATCATTGACTAAACATGGTGCATTAGCCACCCAGGCCCTTGCGTGGACGAACATCTTGGTCCCATGTGAGGTCAAATCAGCTGGAATACGGCTGACTATACAAACGGGCGAACTCTCTAGTATGATGGAATACCATGCATGACTGACACAGATGTGGGCCATGTTGATTTGACAACAGGCTGGATGTGCGGTGCGGATACAGGTTGCGCGCGCATAGAGTTAGGATAAATCCACGTCCCGGCATCGCTTGCTTTGTTGCAGCGCTACATATAGTTAGCAGTAGCGTTGGTCCGGGCAGCGCTACTGCTACAACAACTTAGCTGTAGCGCGTTAGTAGGCTTTCTCCTAGTAGTACGATTTTGCGGTGTCGCCGAGTTGATCTTTCGAACGAGCATGATGCTCGGATCCTCCACCACCTTCGTCTCCGGCAGGTTCTCCTCCGAGTCCATGCGTCTGCGGCGCAAGGGAAGAAGAGAGTGGGCGAAGAAAAAACGGGAATTGGATGGAGAGAGTTGGGATAGAAAAAGAGAGTGATGGATTTTGCCATGAAAACATTGCAACCAGTTACAAAAGCGCAGGTTTGGCCTTCATTTTGGGCTCGGATCCTACATGACTCGTATCCGGTTTGTGGAAATTTGTGATCTGAACTGCTACGGGAACTGACGGGATTAGATCAGCGCTGGATGGTTTATGGGGTCCAAACACCGGCCTGTTTGAGGGTCGGAGCAGAGCAGTCGCAAAATCTCGGTAAAGAAACGGTCAAGGTAAATGCAACATGCATGCCTTGGAACGGAAGCATAATAAACGCGTTGTTCTCTCCCGATCGATCAGCTGGAAAAGTAAGAAATCCCACCATTTTTTCTTCAAGGGCGGGCGTGTTTGTGGGCAGGAGCGAGCACCGGCGCCGTAGCACGTCCGTGCAATCAACCGCCCTACGACGTGTCTCCATTAGCTGCCGTAAGTGCTCCAGGACGGGACGATCGCATATATACATCCACCCAAGCCATGTCCAGGCTGACTCGACATCGCCATGTCATCGACGAGAGCGCGGCGGAGCGACGGCCGGCAGTTCGGGGTGGGCGGCCGGTGGCGGCACGTGGCGGTGGTCGACACGGGGTGTCGGTGCCGCCCGCGCCGCCAGAGGCTGGCGTCCTTCCTCTGGCCGTCCACGAAGCCGCCGGTGACGAGGAGCAGCAGCAGCTCCCATCCGTCATCCTTGTTCCCCTCCTCCGCCTCCACCGCTTCCTCGGCCTCCGCCCGCGTCTACAAGCACCAGCAGGAGCCCTACGGGGCGACGGCAAAGGCGTCGCCGCCGGTTGCGACGAAGAAGGTGGGCAGCAACCCGGCGAAAAAGAGGCGCGAGAAGATGGCAGCAGCGGCGGCCGAGGAGGAGGAGGTTGGGGTGGCGGTGGAGAAGGAGTCGTCGGACCCGCGCGGCGACTTCCGTGACAGCATGGTGCGGATGGTGGTGGAGATGGGGCTCTGCGACTCGGACGGCCTCCGCTCCATGCTTCGCCGCCTGCTCGCCCTCAACGCGCCGCCACACCACGCCACCATCCTCGCCGCCTTCGCCGAGGTCTGCGCCCAGCTCGCCTCGGAGTCTTCAGCGCCGCCGCCTCCGGCGTATCAATACACGAGTGACGAGTGACCATTCGTCGGCTCGGCAAGCCGGCCGGCCAGGTCGTCTGCTCTGCTCGTGTTTCTGTTCTGTGTGGTCTCAAGATCCTGGCACCACCTGGTGTACACATAAACCTGCGACTACCAATAGTGTCGTATAATGTGTGTGCTTGTGTGGCCTTCAGTTTTGCATGAAGGTCATCAAGGAAGCTTGTTACTCCCCTAGTGTTAAAAAACGTCTTATATTCCGGGACGGAGGTAGTAGTTAATCAGCTCAAATATGTAACTATTTGTGCGATTAGCAGTGCTTGCTTGTTATTCTACATTCTACATGCATTTGGCACTTTCTAGTGTTTATATATCAAGTCTGTGTGCACTAGAGGGCCGCTTTTCATTCGTGGATTAACTCTTTTCTATCTACTCGATCCGTTCGATTTACTTGTCGCAGAAGTGAATATAAGTGGATGTATCTAGAACTAAAATACATTTTGATACAACAATTTTCGCAACAAGTAATTTCAGACGAAGGGAGTATTAGATTATTTTGGTCAGTTGTCTTGCTTTGTTTTTATTTTATCTGGGTTGGTTTAAGTTTTGATTATGTTATGACAATGTTTATTGTTTGTATAGTGTGCTAGCCTGCTGTTGAGACAGTATCTGTTCTGAGAGGAGAGTGAAATTGTTTGGTGCATGGTTGTAGTGTCTTTACATGTTTTGGTCTCGGCGTCTGTCGATGGAGTTGTGTGATTCCCTTAAGAGCTCGTACTCCACGCTGAAACCATGGAATTGCTACCAAGGTTTCAAATTTCGAAAACAAGAAAATTTCACTCACACTAAAATTTCATAATTTTTAAAATTTAGTTCAGACAAATCGACAACTTTTTATTTAATTTGGAATTAAAACAACGGGGTACTCTCTCTATTTTTGTACTCCGCATATAAGATTTGTCTTAAGTCAAACTTCATATAGTTCAAAGTTTATATGAAAAAATATCTACATTCACAACACCAAATCAATACCGTTGGATGCATCATAGAACTAATTTGTATGTTGTACACCTTTAGTATTTGAGATGTTTATATATTTTTAATATAAGTTTGGTCAAACTTTATGAAGCTCGACTTAGGATAAAACTAGTATGCAGATGAAAAAATAGCGGAGGGAGTATTAACATTGTAGCAACAACTGCACGGCATAAAAATATCAATAGCACACACGTGGGTTTCAAACAGTAGACCTATTCAAGGGGAGCAGTCCAGCCTACCAATGGGTTAGACGAGGGGTTGTTTATTAATTAGCTAGGATTCCACCTTATTTATATAAAATAATTTAAAATACAGAAATATTTCAAACGAAACAGTTCTTATTTTTTTGCTCACACACGAAATTTGGTCAAATTTTTCCTTGATTGCTCCTATATAATGCTCATATGGGCCATCCCATTAAGCTCTTGCTCGCTCAGCTTGGCTCCCTTCTCCGCTCGCTTGTTTAGCTTTTTTTTTCACTTGCTCCATTAATAACTAAGATAAAAACTGACTAACATTTTTAGTTGTTTTTTAAATCAAAAGATGTAAACATATTAAAAATTAATTAATTTCAAAATTAAGCGAATTAAAAACAATGGATTTTAAAAAAAGTTTAATTTAAAAACATTCATGGATTTAGAAAATGCAAAATTGAAAAAGGTTCTAAAACTAAATAAATGTTCACTAACTTTAAAATTATTTTTGAACTTTACAAATATACATAGTTAAATGTTCCTAAATTTTAGAAAATGGTTTCAATTTTTTTATAATGTTCACAATTTGAATAAATGTTCATGCATTAAAATTTGTAAAAAGGAGAAGGAAAAAACAAAACCCAAATCACTTGACCAACTACACACACTCATAGACGGACGCCTTAGCGAGCCAAGCCCCAACGCATCAGGAGGCTCCAAATCATGTAAGTTTAGGGCCTGTTCGGAAGCTTGCTGGCTTCCAAAACGAGCCAGCTTCTCGTGAAGCCAGCGCTAGCTAGCTTCTGGCGGGAGCCAACGAGCGTTCGGTTACCGAAAATGGTTCGTGGCACACTGTAGCAAGAGCAAACAGTTAGTGGCGATATGTAGCGAGAGGAAAACGCTTCGAGGAGGCACTTCGGGAGGGCATTCCCACGTAATATCGAGCAACTCTAGCTTCTCGTTTTCACGAAGCTGCACGATCGCTGCTTCTAAAATTTGCACTGCGGCCTGCTAGTTCTCCAGGTGTGGGCTCCTTGAAGCTGCAGCGTTCGACCAGCTCATCACCCGCTTCCGGAGAAGCCTGGAGCAGGAGCACTTCCGAACGGGCCCTTAGTATCTTAATATATTTGTCTTGTAATACTTTTATTTATTGTGTGGTGTGATACTATGTTTATCTTATTGTAAGACTATGTGATGTCAGCTATCTCCATGGCCAAGATATGTTATGCTTTATGTGTTATCCATTTTCTCTTTGTCTTACATGCTTTGCTCTCTCACCACACCTCTTGCATGTGGTCCTTGCATCATCTTTAAATATCTTGTTGATGTCTCTCGATCTTGCTTTGTTCAAGTTGCTTCTTATGATCCTCAATATCAGTTTGAGCTTTGCAAGATTTATTGCTAGATCTGAACCTGCACCTCATTGAACTCTCCATCTTCCTAAGGTTTTCATCAACCAAAACTTCATTGTTAAAAGTGGCTACTAGAAAGGAAGCAGATTAGGAGAACTCGGGTGCTCCACCCCTCTATATTCAAAATAATTTAGTAATTCAAAAAAGGTAAAAAAAATCCCAAACATTTTTGGAATCAAATATGACCAGATATTATACTCGTATAAAAAGTTTGGCCAAGGAATGATTCCCGTTGACTTCGTGGAAAAAAACAAATTTGTGACGATAATATTGCATGAATAGTACTTGTATCTAGCGTTTTTGGCAAATCTTTGACCCTGGATATAATGAAAGTCGTTCCGTGATTAATCTTTTTTTATACGAGTGCAATACTTGGTCATGTTTGATTCCATAAAAAGTTTACAATTGTTGACGTTTTTATTGAATTACTAAATTATTTTTCAATATAGGGGGTGTGGCATCTGAGTGCTCCTATGTATTTTTCGCTACTGCAAAGTGTTAATTTCTGATAGAAAGACCTTGTACAGTCTCTCACACTCGCATGTATTGTCTGCATCAGAGCATGAATTTTGACTAGGTCTTCTGCCACCTTTGTTCAATGGTTGCCGACGCACCAACTCGAGAAAATTGGACAATTTTAGTCGCCAGTAACTTCAACCTATAACAAATGGTGTTTTTCCCTAGTCCAGGCGCCTGTGAAAATGGAACATGCCAAGCACAAAGAAGTATGGCTCAAGTAAGGAGGAACCTTGAGAATATTTGCCGCAAAAAAAGAACCTTGAGAATATGCCATGTAGAGAGAAAATTAGCTTAAGCAAAGATAAAACTTCAATTATGAAGAAGTATAAGTAAGTGCATATAGTGCACTATAGACATTAGACAACATCTTTTGGAGTTAATTTTGACTCCAGAATATATGTTACATTTCTGAAAACTCTATTAGTGTTATCATCATGCACAGATAAAAAATATGAAATAACAACATGAATAGAAATGATGACCTTCTTATGTGGTTCATACATTTTTTTTTGCTAAGATGACATGTGTAGCATTGAAAAATAAAAATACAGGAGACCTTGATTGAATTTCACGCCCCAACTTTTTAGATGAAATATAGGAATTATTACGAGCCGAATCCGGAGGCGAGGATCAATCTAGCGTAGTCTCACTATTCATGTCCTAAATTTTTAGATGAAGTATATGAATTATTACATACTAAATCTGGACGCGAGGATCAATTAGGCGTAGTGTCACTATCCATGGCCTAAAGTTTTAGATGAAATATAGGAATTATTACAAAGTGAACCTGGAGACGAGGATAAATTTGGCCTAGTGTCACTATTCATGCCATGAATTTTTAGATGAAATATAGTGATTATTACAAACTGAATATGTAGAGCATTGATACAATTGATCAAAAATTGTCAATTGACCCCGCGATGTTTATATAGTCAGTTGGATACAAGACTTCTGTAGACTCGTGAACAACGTAGCATACCTTACGGATGGAATGTATGAGCCATTTGTTAACGCAGTAAGATAACCATGTTAACATCAATATTTCCCTTTTATATTATGACTAGCATACATAACTAAATCATTGATGGACCTATGTGCAAGACAGAGCTGGCCCAAACCTTGGAAAACTAGTGAAGTTTTTGGGAGTGAAGGGGGACTTTTGCCCCCACCCCACAAGACATTCATATTTTACTTGGGGGCCGGGGTTTCGATTGGAAAATAATCAATATTCACTTAATATGTTGAAATGCTTACACGATTTTTTCCCTTTCTTTAGCATTGATCCATCATTTCTGAATGTTGCCCTACATTTTTGAGTGGTGCTACAATGCAGTTGAAGCCAAATAAACTATTTCTATTTATAAGTTCGAAATTCTTTTGGTGTTAACATTTTCAATTACATATATGTTATAACTAAATTGTTTTATCACAATGTTTGCCTCAGATATTATAAAAATGTTGTTTATCCAGGAAACTGGAGAAACTGAATATGTTTTTGTTTCATTTAGGACATGTAACTTTAGCAACCAGACACACTGACTGAGGTTTTTCTATGCAGTGTCTGGTTTATGTCCATCAGGGTTAAAAACAAAATGCAAGAGATAAGAGATAAATAATTGTGATGTGAAACCAACTACTGTGCAACATAACTAAAGGCAATAATGTTGATTCTTTACCTCAGGGTGGTATTAGTTGTGAGAGAAGTACCATAAAATTCAAAAATCTATGATAGGAAAATCGGGCCATCCACCAACTGGTTGTAGTCTGCAGCTATACTAATTACCGAACTACTCAATTATCTATTTTTTTTTCAATATGAAGGGTAATACATTAATGAATTTTATATTGCACCAATGTTCGCCCCCTTCGTATCCTAGCGC